TAAAACAGTAAAAACAAAACGGATAGACTAAAGTTTGAGCAGCCTTGCTGGGGATACGATCTGTTCCAGCTTCTCTACAAAGCGAACCCACTCGATATAGAGCTCTCGGCCATGCGCTTCACTCAAGCAAGTGCCCCATTGGTTATATGCCACATCCACCGTCGATTCATCTACTTCCGTGAGCACCGTCGTGGCCCCTCCTTCCAAAATCCACTGCACGTCTTGCCGCGCTCCCTCCGCCAACCGGTTCCAAGCGTTAGCTTCGGAATCGGCGATCAACATGATGTATTTGTCCCTCCGTAGCCCATTTGGCTGCGTTGAACGTGTGCGGCGCGCCAGTGCAACATACCGAAGACGAACTTCTCCTGGAATGCTGTATACCACAACGTAGGCATGCTTGCCGAACCTTTGCAACCCTTGGCATGCCATTCGTCCGCTTTGAGCTCGGCCCCAGCACCTCGGCGTCGTCAGCACAGGAAGCAGGCTGGGGTCCACACTTGTCAGTAGCTGCTCCGAGTCGTCTAACGACCAGCGCAGACGTCTCGTGAAGCGCCCATGGGTTCTGAAAAATGTGTTGGTCTCGTCCAACGCCGCTGGGGCATGCTCCACCGCCCAGCCCAGAATATTTCTGACTTGTTCAGTGCATGGGTGTTGTAGCGAGTTGAGTTTAATGTCGTTGAATTCTTGTGCTGAGTAAGGGTGGAAATGGAGCGAAGGCGACCCGTCCAAGAGGTTTACGTTCCAGCCCAGCTCGCCCGAGCCTTTCAAAATGGATCGAGGTGATGGATCATCGAATAACCGATAGCCATACAGGTGACGCTGCTGGCGGATTGCGTCTTCAAAGCCGTCGTACGGCTCCAGCGCCTTCAGTAGTAAGGCATTTTCCCGTGCCAACGCTGCACAGTGGATCGTGAGCTGGAGGAGAGCTACGAACTGCTCGCTGTAGTTCGCAGAAGAAGTATCGGATACCCTTGCTGCTTTGACGCAATGCTGCAGCTTCGTCTCCTGGCACTCCCGTTTTAGTCTCGCCAAGTCTTGTTTCATCTCGGTGCGCCACCGTGCCACTCACGCTCGATGGTAGTTGTCCGCTGGTCGGGTCGGGATCGGAAGTTGGCGACACGATCGCTGACGTCTTGGTACCGCACACTTCGTGTGTATTGTTGCATGAAGAGGTTGGATCGTGGTGGAAAGCATGGAATTCGCTGCTGCTGACACGCCTCGATACGAGTGAACTGCGCCAGTGGAGCAGCACGTATATATATTGATAGCTTGTGCTCTTCAAAGTAAGGAGACAAACAGCCTGAGAGCTCTGAAATTTAAAGTTTAAAAAAAAAGAAATTGGTGAATGGTAAGGAGGAAGTACTACTGCGTGGGTTGACCAACTCAGAAAACCTGCACAGAGCTCAAATGGCCAATGTCGCTATGGATAGTGGTTGTTCTCGTAGCTGATGTATTTCTTTATGGCTGTATTTGCCCGCACAGTCGAGTTGACTTTCAATGGCGTACTGCTCTCCTTGTCCACTTGGATAGGCCTGCCTAAATCGTGTTGGACATCAATTTCGAAGATCACAACTTTTAAAAATTAATGCGGACAGAGCCACACTCTAAAACAACAATTATTTGTAAAGATTCAGGGTTTTACTCAACTCAGCTCAAAGAAGTCTAGCGGGTGATATCGATTGCTCCAAGCGCACAGCGAACCGGATCCAATCGATGAACAATTCCCTGCCATGCGTCTCGCTCAAGCACTCAGCCCACTGGTCGTACACGACGTCGATGGTTGATTCATCCACCTCCGTAATTGTCACGTAGACGCCGCCCTCCATGATCCACTGCACGCTTTCCTGCGCATCTTCAGCCGCTCGGTTGCGTGTGTTGGCGGTCGAATCAGCTATCGTCATGATGTACTTGTCCACGCGCTTGCCATCCGATCTCCGCTCTCTCGAGTGCTGAGCGAGAGCGAGGTAGCGGAGGTTCACCTCACCTGGGATGTTGCACACTATAACGAGGGCGTCCTGGTGGAAGTTCTGCAGCACTTGGACGCTCGTTTCCCCGGTCTGAACGCGTCCCCAACTTCGAGGCGCTACCAGAACGGGCCACAGTTTCTTCTCCATCCGCGGCAGGATCATTTCAGACACGTCGAGCGAGCAGTGGAGGCGTCTTGTGAACGTAGCGTGCGCCACAAACGATGTTCCTGCTTCGTTACGAGTGAGCGGGACGTAGTCCACCGTCCAGCCCAGAATCTTTCCCACAGTCGCAGTGCACGGATGGCGCTCTCCATACGCGATGTCACTGTGGCACAGGATACCGTCGAATTCGGCCTTGGAGAACGGGCTGAAGTGGAATGACGGCTCGTTGTTCGGGAAGCTTACTCGCCACCCGTCCTCGTCGCCATGGCGTGGCGTCTCCTCGGCATCTTGACTTGAATTTTGGGAGCTAAAGGCCCCAAACTCCTGCCCCTCAAGACGCAGCACCCTCTCGAACTTGCTTTGCAGCGCGATCGCCTCCTTCAGCGCCAGGTTTTCTCGCTGTAACGCTGCGCACTCGATGGTGACCTGCCGGAACGCGTCGCCAAGTGACTGCTCTGGATTGAGGTCGGACCTCATGCGCGCTTCGAGCACCCGGTGTTCCAGCTCCTTCTCCAGACGCAGTCGTTCTTGCTGCATACTGGCGCCTCGCTCCTTCTTCTGCTTCCGCCACTTGATCATCCGCGCCCGCTGCTGCTCACGTCGCCACTGCTCGCGCATGGCGGACTCCCAGAGTTTGGTCATGGCGGGGTCTCCCATCGTCTCGTCGATGGTCATGTTGCAGTTGGTGCTGCTCAGCCCAGGCAGTGGACTGGAGAAGGACTTGACAGTGTCGACCATGGGTCTGCGTTATAGCAAATAACTCGGAATGACGTAATCCTAGACCACCCACCGCCCCACGGAGAGGAAGGGGTCTCGAGCGGAAGAGGTTGTGGCGTTGTAAGCCAAGCCCATCCTTTTTCTGGTATCACGTGGTCTCGTGCATCAGGTGAGGTGAGCTGCGCAGAACTTCAGTACTGTCGCAGCGCAGGCCTTCAACTAATCACAGACAGCATAAGGACACAACGAAAAGAAAGATGTTGTCTAAGACGAGAACCTAAAACGCACTGCACTTGTGGTTTTTGCTGCTGGGGCTGCAGCAGAGTTTACGGTCGCAATTGAGATTTTGCGGCTGGATCCACCAGACAGCGGTACGAATTGTTGTCCACAAGCTGCGGTTCCCTCACCGGACTTCCTATCTTACAGGTGATCATCAGGTGCCGCATATGATTCCGGCTTCAAGTCCGTTCGAGATCCGTTGATTCTGTCTCTCTCTTCGCTGTACCGGAACTGTATGTGAAGCAGACGAGCCACAGAGCTCAACTTTCCATACCCAAAAAACCTCCGACCCTCCGACTTTCTCCGACTCGTACACAAAACATGCGGATAGGAGGGTGGTCACCTTTAACTATCACCCAGCTACGCGCTACGCGCAAACCTAAAACCCCTAAAGGCTCGCTGCACTCGCTGGGCCAGAACCCTAAGCCCGCTGCGGCTCGCACGCGTCGCCTCCGCTTGCTAGGTAGAGCACTGCTGGGTCGTGGGTTTGCAGCCACACGGACTGTCAAACCGCAGGCGGGGGCTCGCTACGCTCGCTCCGTGCCATCCATTCCAAGGCTCCGACCAATGAGCAAACAGGACGACTAATCTATCTTGGACTGTGTATGCATAACACTTCGGGAAGGGGTAGGGTAATACTGTTATGCTCCGACCGCGCTTGACTGGGGATTTGTATACCTAACATCTTAAGTGCGGTCGGAGATTTGATGATATTCTACCATAACGCAGATTTTGATGACTATCATGACAATATGATCATTCCGTCATTATGGTTCACTTCAGTATGGTGCCTTATTGTATCGTGGGGTCGGGAGGGAGGGGGATCGGAGTGAAATTGGTTTTTGCAGTACGATAAGGGCATACTTGCACAGTGCATACACGTAACTGGACTTCCTACTAACAGATCGGCTAGACTCGTTACGTCTTCAAAATATTCTTGCAATGCTTTTGCGGTCGGCTTCTACATGTAGTTGCAAGGAACAAGCACTACAGTAATCTGCCCGAGTAAGGAACGCCTGATATATATAAAGACGCAGAATATATAAATTGATGTTAAGTTGAGTATACTTTTCCAATGTACTGATTTAGTTATTTCAAAATGAACTGAAGAGCAGCTTTACCTACGAGTCCGGAATGATTCCAACAGTGGCGTATGGTCGAAGCACTAACCTTTGACCAGGCATCCTCGCACCACAACAGCGCTGTCAACTGGTCGACCTCGTAGGGATTATCCAGCCCTTCACCTTGTCGAGAATGCCCACTTTCTCAGACCAAGTGAGACGGAGACGCTTGGACGGTGTGGACTTCATGGGTGTGGAGTGGGGGAGGAGGTGGGCTTGTGGGGCGAGGTGCAAAAGCAAAAGTGCGAGTCTACCACTACGGTACATGTAGTTTGAAGTCTAGTAAGATCGCTAAATGCGTGCCATTTTTCAAACGAGGGTGGAGAGCTGATGATTGGCACTGGATTTTTCACCTTAGTACCTCAGTACCTTGCAGTACCTTGCACATCCCCCTATCGCCACATCGACTGGAAAATAATATTAAATATGTGAGGCTATTAGTTGTACACCCATTCCTTATTCGGGCAGAATTCTGTACAGTATTAGTGGTAGTAGTGCAGTAGCAAGCTACCTGGTAGGACAAATCATGATAACCGTTCATCGAATTGGCAATACATTACGGCACCGTAGATCTTCGCCTGCTGAACCTTCCAGTGCAGTACGTATAACGGTAAGATAGTTGACGCCGATGGGAAAACTGGAACTCCAGCTTTGACGTTCTTGCTGTTCGCTCAGACAAGTCCGCATTCCTCAATTTGCTCTGCACCACTCAAGCCCTTTCAAGTCCTCAGTGGTCTGCCACCCAAGTCGAAACATGCGCGTGTGCTCCGTCCTCCTAGTTGCTGCAGCTGCTCTCATCGCGACCAGTAATGCTGTTGAGCCTTCCGCCACGTCAACCGTTGAGGTTGCTGAGGTTCAAGCGCGTGGTGCAGACAAACGGTTCCTTCGTAGCCTCCAGACTGAGGAAGAGCAAGGAGACAGCGATGTCAACGAGGCAGAAGACGGTAGTGAAGAGAGAGGACTATTCGCCTGGATCAAAAACGCAGTGACTGGCGATGTTCTTCTGGCGAAGGCGAATAAAGGCGACTTCGAGATGCAGACCAAGCTCTTCAAAAAGTGGATAGAAGAAAAACCTAAAGTCCGACAAAACGCGATCGCCAAGATCATGAGGGATGGAGGACGCAAGAAATACGATACGGTGTTGACGGCGTGGAAGTACCACGATAAAAGAACCGCCAATGGTATCGGCATCCGTGGCGCTACCGATGATGTTGATGAACTGCTTCCAGGAACTCTCATCTACAGGGCAGCTGCCGGAAATCAGGGCGCCCAGAGCGCACTATTCAGCATGTGGATCGGCGCTGAAAAGAAAACTTTGGACACTGCGCGCATACTCCTCTCCAAATCTGAATTGCCGGCCAAAGAGTATAAGAGACTAAACAAAGCGTGGGTGCAATACCGAAGGAAACACAAGTAAGCTCGCAAGGGTCGTCGCAGGCAGAACTGCGGCCTCGTCTGACCCGAAGAGGTCAGATTCAGGGCTTGAAATCAACATAGCAGAAAGCTTCACCTGCAAAAGCTGGTATTTTATTTTTATTAATCAATGACTAATAATAAAGAACACCACTTTTTGCTGATTAAAAATTACCCCAGTATATTAAAAACAGTAGTACAGTAATGTGCGTCAATAAGGAACCGCTAATATGGATAGAAGCAAGGAGGCTATTGGGCCAAGCAGTGTAACATAGACGGTTCTGGGTACTGTCTTAGTGCATTAAATTGGAAGTATCTGGTATATTTCCCGGTCAATTTCTTTGAATGATTCATCTAAATCAGTACTATCAGCGGGAAACTGGGCTCCTTCCAGCCAGCTGTTTGTTATATGTACAAGGAAATTAGCTCCTACACGTTCCTTATTGACACACATTACTGTAAAAGGAACCAAAGCATATCTTGAGCCAGGACATCGACTTCAGTACGGGTGAACAGTGTTCTTATGAAAACTTCCGTGCAAACTTGAGAATGGAGAGCCTTTCGTTCTTGGCTTTGGTAGAGCGAACGACCTGGTCAGACACAAAACAACGGCAATCGAAATTTAGAGCAGTTGCGTCGTACGAGAGGAAAGCACATTGGAATGATAGCGCACCGTCATCTCGAAACCGTCCTTGGCTAGTATAGCAGCGATTTCATTGGGTTTGTTCTCGACCACGACGACCATGTAGAAGACCCCACGAGGCGACAGCAAAGCGCTAATCTTCGGCAGCAGGCGATCAATCACTTCACGTCCGTGTAGACCGCCAGCCCACGCTGCCTCAATACCCCTGCAGTCATTTTCAAGGTTATTCTCTAGCACAGCATCCCAGTCAACACTATACATAAGCACACACGTACGTGGATCCGACCTCCTCCGATGGAGTCGGCACATACGGTGGATTGAACAGCAGCACATCAACTTGTCCCTACAGCTCCAAACCCTCAGTGAGTGACAACCAATAACACGCCATTTGCATGGATCAAATGGGCTTCGCACCTGTATCCGTGGCTCGTAACACTGCAGCAAGTCGGTGCGCACGATGTCGAACGCTTCCGCCCCGTTGTTCTTGGCGGTTTGTTGAGCGACCCCCGCCGCGAGCGGATTGATGTCCGTGGCCAGGAACATCGCTCTCGTCCCCAACTTCTGCAATTGCGTCGCCAAGTACACGAACACGGCGCCGCTTCCACACCTGCAACCAGTCTCAGTTCAATGCATTCCAGTCTGTGCCAGCCAACGGATTGACTCACGCACCCGATCTCCACGCAGATCGCGGGGTCCAGCGCCACCAGCTTGGGCAGTTCGTCTTGCAGCGCGTCCAGGAACAGGAACGTGTCCTCCGCCGGCTCGTAGACGTCGCAGTCGTACGCCATGTCGATCTCCGGTAGCTCCGCCATGGTCTCTCGGCTTTCAAAGCACTGCCAGTTATCCCCACAGGTTCGGGCGTGTGCACCACATGAGACTACACAGTGATCATGAAGGGACGCACAGGTCGGTTGCCAATATTACTACGGCGATGGACTTGACCGAGGATGAAGATGGCTACAATAGCAGCACCGGCAGCGTGGACGAAGACGCCGAGCTGGAACTGTCCTGCGCTCTGCATGACTTGGCTCTGAGGGTGAAAACCTTCGAGGCCAACATGCAGGGCCGGTTCCGCCAGGACCTGGGCGACGAGGAGGACGAGGAGGAGATCACGGAGGACCTCGACCATTTTGAAGAGGAGGGAGGGCCCAGCTACTACGGACGACATCGGATGGACTCGGACTCGGCGTCGCCCAAGCGTCGAGTGAGTAGAAGGAGGAGGTCGAGTAGTGGCTTCAAGACGGTCAAGCACCAGCACGGCGATGAAGAGGACGGCGACTATGAGGACCTCGACAGCGACCAAGAGGACCGACCGGAGGCCAAGAGTGGGCGTGACGACTCGGAACTGAGTGAGGGTGAGGATGAATGGGACTCCCAGGAGGAGAAAGAGGAGCTGTGCGAGCTCAAACAGAACATCGCAAAGCTGCTTCAAAGCATGCAGGAGGAGGCCAAAGCCCTCGAGGACAACCAGGCGGACTGCAAAGTCGTAGAATAGCCACGCATATCGTGAAGCCTGAGGTTTGATAACATGAATGAAGCACTTCACCCTGAAAACAAAAAAAATCGCCTGCAGCCTGTCGCTATTCAGTACACAAAGCCATCAGGCCCAGGATCTTCTTACACGGTTGCCAAGACTTTCACAACTTGTGGCATTTGCCACCTCATTGCTCACTCCCGTCAGGCCCGCTATGTCCACCGCCCTATTTCGACTGTAAATACTCCAAGAACCGCTTCTGCAGCTCGAACTCCTGTTCGCGCAGCTCCGTCTCCTTCTGACGCTGGTCCATATCGAACTGAATCTTGCTCTCGATAAGCTCCAGGATCCGTGCGCGGAAGTTATCGCTACTGATAGTGTCCGACGCGGCCGGCATTTTCCCGGCCATGGCGCCCACAGGTGACTCCATCTTTCTCCGCTTTTGCGGCAGCATGGAAGGGGGCACAGCCGGAAGAGAGCTGCCAAACGTTGCGCCGTCAGTCTTCACAATGACCCTCTCCTTGCCGTTGCCGTCCACCACCGTCTGCCCTGCCATCTTGTGGTTCTTCCGGATGAGCGTCTCGTTGATCTCGCGCAGAATCGTCTCCTTGCGCGCGTTCTCCTCCATCGTTCCGTGCTTAAATAACTTGTCGTGCTTGCCGTCTGTGTACATTTTCATCAGTGCCGTCACTCGGTCACTACGCAACAATAAAAAATAGAGTGAGACCATGAAAATAATAAAAAACTCTCGCATCTCCTCAACTATTTTCCTCACCGACACGTGTGCCATGAGTACGCCGCCGGGTTCTTGTACAGGGATATGCCCACGGACTCGGCCACATTCTGCCACATCTGCAGCCTCGTGCCGTGCTTGGCCGTGAACGGGTTGTTGACCTGCAGCGCCTCCAGCAGCGTCACGTCCATCGTGCCGTTGAACTTGGCGTACCGGCCGCGCACCGTGGGCTTCTGGGGCGCGGCAGCCTGCGCTCGCCCTGCAGATATAAGAAACCATTATAGCATGTCAGGGGTTCACGCTATCACGACCGCTCTGTAACTAGAACAAGCGCTGACTAGTGAATGGCAGAGCAGCACGTAGCTACCTGCATCGACACATGCACTGCACGCAAAGCTCACGCAGCCTACCTAGCTCATTGCCCCGATCTACTGGTAAGGTATACAAGGTCGTACCGGTGCTGGCCGGTGCGATCCCTTCGTCCCCCATGACGTCTCGAGACGCTGTAAAGTTACCGACCGCTGTTTCTTCGTTCGGGCCCCGAATTTCTCAAAAATGGGGAGGAAAAATCGAGAGCCAGCGGTTTTGAGAGGTTCGACGACCAGTTTTGAGAGGGCCTGAGCGTGACTTGAACAAAGTATGAAGTTGAAGTGCGAGCTTGACTGTCAAACTTCTTAGCGATGAAGGTTATCATTTAACGTTAGCGTCAGCGTTAGCGCCAACGAGTAGCTTGAGGACCTTGCTAATACGGCCTTCACTTGGTCTCCTCGTCGGGGGCCTCGAGCGACTTGGCGGCCATCTCGAGCGCGCCTTCGTACGTGCGGTTGCCGCCGATGAAGCCGGCGCTGTGCACAAACGTGCAGCCCTCGATGCCGGACACAGTGGACAGCTCCGCGTCGCGCAGGCCGCGCCAAGCGGGCAGCAGGCCCTTGCGCAGCGCGAAGGATCCCGGCTCCGTGTTGAGCGCCTGCACGCGCGTCATGCTGCCCGTGGCGTCGTTGTACAGCACGAACTTGATCTGGCCGGAGATCATGAGCTTCTCCTCCAGGTCGTGCAGGTGCGACTTCCACGGGCAGTACTCGGGGAAGTGCACGATCTCGCCGGACTTGTGCGTCTGGAAGCGCTTGGACACGGCCTTCTCCACGATCTCACGCGCGGGCAGCCACGAGTGCACGAGGTCGTGGATGGCGTCCGTGAACTCCGTGATGGTCATGTACATGGCCTGCTGGAACTGCGCGTTGACGCGCGCCTCGCTCTGATCCTCGTTCCAGCGCGGGTTCAGGTAGCCCACGCGGTTGCTGAGGCTCGAGGACACCTGGTAGTTGTACGTGATCTTGGCGTCCCCGGCGGCGCTGGCCACCTCGACGCCGTTGTCGATGCCGTCGATGTGCTCGACGAAGTTCTTGTACGCCTTCTGGTGCAAAATGTCCAGCGTGGCGTCGTCCAGCGTGACGGGCGCGGCCAGCACCTGGATGATCTCGCGGCCGAAGTGATTGTACACGAGGCCGGCGCTCGACAGCTTGGTGTCGCGCTGGTCGAAGGTGCCCGCGAAGGAGCGCTGGTGGTGGTCGAAGCGCAGCGCCTGCGCGTCGTACACGCCGCCCACGTCCACGACAGCCTCGCACTGGGCCAGCTTGGCCTCGTCGCGCGTGCGCAGCACGTCGTGGGCCGCGAACTTGGGCAGCAGCTTCAGCATCGACACGGCCAGCGCCTCGTCGCAGTGGAACGTACCGTTGTGGGTGCCGATGTACTTCTTGGCGGCGCCCTCGGCCAGCTGGGACGTCACCTGCGCGCTGCGGAAGGCGGCGAAGCACGGGGAGGAGGCCACGAAGGCGGCGGCTTTTGTCGGGACGGCCATGGTTGATACACCGGTTGGATGGCACCACTGGAATGGAAAGTGACTTGCGTTGACTAGGGCGATTTGAAGGGACTATTCTGGAGCACAACTATTTGGTACAGGTCAAACCGAGGACTAGATTACACTTGCTGTGAGTATGACCCAAGTTGAAGTGGACCAAACTAAGACGTCGAGGTTGGTTCACAGCAGATTTCGTGAATTTATGTTCTCTATCCGTTGGACGAATGCTACAACGTTGTGTGCACGCTATGGCAGTATCTCGCTCTATTATCTATATCTAGTGAAACCAAAATCTATGAACGTGTCGTGAGAGGACTAAACCGTAGGCGCAGCCTCAGCTTGCTCCTGCCGAATAGGACCTGTCTTGATGAACTTGGCACAAAAGAAGCCCATGGTATCGAGCTCCGTATTGGCAGGGTCGAAGCGCTGCACGAGAGACGCCTCGTGGTCGTTGAGACCTTGGCCAGCCAACCCGCGGTCGCCGATGTGGACCTCGCCTTGCGAAACAAGTTTAAGCGGATAGTTTTGCAGTGCGTGGTGCACCATCTGCTCGTTCTCCTTCGGGTTGATCGTGCACGTGGAGTACACGAGGGTGCCGCCAGGCTTCAGCAGAAATGCCGCAACCCACAGGAAGTTGCGCTGCATGTTGGTGTACTCAGCCAAGTTATCAGCATCTCCCGCGTGGAGCAACCGAGGGCGCAAGCCTAGCGCCGAGCAAGGAGGGTCCAGCAGAATGCGGTCGAAGGTTTCGGGGAAGAACCCTTCTACCTGGAGCAGACGTGCCTGGCTGGGAGTGTCCGCCTTTGCCCGAGCTAGAACCTGCGCCACACAGGTAAAGTCGCTGTTTCCCTGTGCGGCAGCCAATCCCGCGTCCACCTTATCCTTGGGTAGGACAGCATGGGTCGAGTCCATCTTGAGGGGCACGACACACTCGAGCTGCAGATCGTCGCAAAGGGTCCGCAGCTCCAATGCCTTCCTCTTCGAGCGGTCACACGCCACCAGCGTGCCCTTGTTCCGCATCAGCGTGGCCACATGAGACGTCTTGCCTCCGGGGGCCGCACACATGTCCAGAATCGCATCACCCTCCTGCGGATCCAGAGCGTGGGCCACCACCGAGCACGGAAGGTTCTGGACGTAGATCTGACCGTGCAGCACGCCGTTCATCGGTGGAGCATCATGACAGACCCGAACCAACTGAGTCACCGCCAGTCCCCTCACAGCCCGGAAAATCTCGGTGCGCGCCATCTTGGTCACGCCGCGAGCAATCAGCAGCTTGCGTCCATCGTGAGCGGCAAAGTCGCTGCCCCGCGTGTGGTTGTGGTCCAGATCAACGAACACATTGACCTCGTCCTCGGCGTTGATGCCGCTGCTGGCGCTCATGACTCCACGCGCGAAGATGTCGCTGCCACGCAGCACCGCCTCGCCGCAGAGTCGGTCCACCACGATACTCTTGAGTTCTGGGTTGAAATCGACCGCAGTATCGCCGCTAGCCGCCGACGGGATCATCAGCACGTCCGGCAGCGAGGCGTGGGCGAAGGCCTCGATGGGCTGGCGACTGGCGTCCAGCGCTGCCAATTGGGCGTTGAACCCATCCAGATGCGGCTTCAGGGCCTGCAGAGCCTCGTCCCGGGAAAGCTTGAGGGTGTTCACTCGGACGGCGGTGAAGGCGGGCCTGGGGTTGTTCAAACAAGCACGGAGTTAGTTATTTCGGCTTTATGACACGCTTTTTCCGGCTATGTGGGACTTGGGGACGTACGGTCGGGCGAGCGCGTGCTTGATGTTGGTCCAATGGGGTTCGCTGTAGGCGGCGCCGAGCTCCTGCTCCACTTGGTCGGGGAACGTCACGGAGAACGCGTCCAGCGTGGTGGCGCCCGGGACGGCGGTCGAGTCTTCCAGCGGAGCCATGCTGCGGGGATTGTAATGACTGGTGGAGTCTATGCAATTCAAAATAGTGCGTCGTGATTGGCTGAAATGTGGAGCTACGGTACGAGAAGGTGAGTGACGGTCACGTTGAAGTTGATCAGAGTGATGGTCAAATCGTAGCCGCAGATACACCTTCAACCTCATTTGCGAATCTACCAGCAACAGCAACTACAGTACACACCAGCCATGGCCTCACGCGCCCGTACGTCCTCCTTCTCGACACAGCGCATTGCTGCGTCGTACGCTGGGCGTGGCAAACGCGCCAAGGCTATCGCAACCGCCGCCCCAAGCAAGAGGCAAATGGCCATCATCAACTGGGAGAACGTCCTCGCGCCGATGGACTGGTTGGCGGTCTACCTGGGCTTGGGAGCGACAAACGAAGCCATCGAGAGGGCGGTTGCGCGGTACAGGAGCTCGCCGGATCTGCTTCAGTCCCTGGCGGCGATCGAAGAGCGCGTCATGGAGCTTCTGACGGAGACCATGAAGCTCATTGACGGGCCAGTGTTCGTTGTGAGCGAGTACAGCACCGCCTACGTGGAGCTGGTGAGCAGTTTGTTCTTCCCGCGGCTGACGGCGGCACTGAGGAACGCTAAGAGCGGAATTTACGTCGTCGGCACCCCCAACACGCAGCTGACAGCTCTGGAGATGAAGCAGTGGAAGGTCAATTTGCTGCACACGGCGATCCACGAGCACCTATTTGCTGGGATCGATGAAGTCGTCACAACGAATCTGCTTGCGCGGTCGGCGTACGGTAGGATCAAAGTCGTGGCTCTATGCGCCAACGAAGCGGACGCCGCTGCAGCGTCCGGGATCCATTTGATCGCGCCAAATGCGGTCATCAAGCATGTGAGGGTTCAAGGTCCGAAGGCTGGATATACACATTCGCCTCAACCGTAGACGACTTTTACGCTCAGCTACAAAGCTTGATGCAGTTTGTCAGACAGAACGCGAACTAACCTGATTACATAAGATCGAAGCGGCTAGCTTCTCCGACTTTTAAAGCAACATGTATGCCTACATACTTACTTTACAATTCGCTTGACAAATACATGTCCTAACTAGCCCCGGACTTGGTGAACACCCCACGATCCCTTGCATAAAGTGCCCCCCTCTCTTCCTCCCCCAAATACACCTTGTTCACAGACGTCTCTTATGCTGACGCTCGGCCAAAGCACGAGATCATCTAACCAGGGACAAATATATTTTGTGATGATGATGAGGTATATTGGATTAATTAAAATAATCCTAACAACCGTGCATCACGCCAATTGGCAAGACACACAGACGCAGTGCTCCAGAGAGCAGATATTCCGCAACACTTTACCACCAGGTTAGAGAACGAAATGAAGATCAGTAGTAGCGAAAAGGGGTTCCGGGATCATTATTCGATTCGGAACAGTTCCACGTCTCTATAGTTTCTAGTTAATCTTTATTACCCAGCCTCAAAGCCCACCGGTGGGCTCGGTCCAAATCCCACGCGTGGGCTCAAAAACAATAGTTGTAGATAAGACGTTTTCGCTTTCCAAAGCAATGTAATTGATTCTAAAGAGCTCCAAATGGCACAATGAAGTACAAGTGACTAGCCACTGACCCCCAGAAGCAACAGCAATTATTTATCAGACCATAGTTAGTGCGGAAAGTCGTTTGGTAGTCTCCATGCAGCCTATCTACCTCTATAATGATAGCGGCAATGGCCCAAGCTCTACAGACACATTGAAAACAGCACAGCAAGCTAAATGAATTCACGTGATGCATGCACTGTTGGGACATAACTGGTTAGCCTTCAACTGCCATAAGGCGTCACCTTGTTGTACCCATGACGAAATTGTAGGGGTTCCGACTCTGGGAGTAAATCAGTGACCCAGTAACGCTCTATCGAGTTGGTAGTGCTTACAATAGAGTCTACACAGTATTTGAAGTGTTTATCTGGTCGGCTCTTGCTAAGTTTCACCGCCTACCACCATTGGAACGGCTAAGAAACAAAATGTCGAACAGCTATAATAGGTATTTTTTGGCCCAATCTTAGCCGCTGTTGCTACTAACGGAAATTACCGAATAATACCCCGGGCACTATTTATTAGTACCCTCCCATTTTCAAAACAAATATGCTAAATTATGGATATTACACAGTATAAACATGATTTCGACAATTTATACTGTGTAATATCCATAATTTAGCATATTTGTTTTGTATCTTTGTATGTAAATAACATTGTAACCCTGGGATACACATTGGGTTACGTTTTAGAGGGTACTCTACGGGTAAGGGGTATTATTCGGGAATTTACGTTACTGCAGTACACCGTTCACCCTAATTAGTCGTGTGACTTAAATAGTCATGCATCGTACTTATACGAAATTTTACGGTATGTACATCTAAATTAGTCGTGCACCTGAATTAGGCATGTACCAAAACAATCTATAGGAGAACACTGGTTAAGCTTGACAGCCAACCACTCCACCGCCGGCTACACCGTGCTGTTCTAAGACCACAGCACTCCCATTCTCCAATTACAATGGCCGACGACGCAGCACGAAGCCTGCAGCAGGTCGTGCCTCTATGCGACCGGGTTCGGTGCACCGACTGGATGGAGCTGGACCAAGCCCTTCGCGGCTCGTAAGGTCTCTACGGGCGAACAGTGGACTTCTCCTTGGCCCTCTTCCGCTCCTCCGACCGGCGTGTGAACATGAACAAGGCCCGTGACTGGTGGAAGAAGCGAGAAGAGACAGCGGCCAGCCTCGAAGACCCAGCGCAGCTCAAGTTTGCGACCAGCCGACAGCGCATCCGCCACCAGTTCGTTGTGGAGACGCTGTGGTGGAGTGGATCCGCTGGGATTAGCAGGGATCCCACACTCACACACTGCGCCCAGACACCGACTAACGGAGGGGGTACTCCGATAACCGTAGGTTGCTGAGTGGCTCACCTTGTGTACCCGTCGGCGGGCGGGATCTGCTCTCTCGTTGACACGAGATGCGCAGCGGGTGAACTTGAATGTCCTTGGCGGGGACTTGGGGAGATGTTGGGGTAGATCCGCTGTGGAGGTTCCTTCACGCGGGTCTGGGTAGGTTGATCCTTGGTCTTGGCCGTAGATCTTGTGGATCCGATAAGTAATATACCGGATCCGGAGTTGTTGCTGTAATGGGCCTACTTTGGCTCACTACTTTAGCATACACGTGTGCGCACGTGTACGAGGAAGCGTAGCTTAGTTTAAACTAGAGTTAATTATACTCGGACCGCCGAGTATAGATTAATCTAAATAAACGATCCAAATAATGTTGTTGGGCTAAAATGAGAACTGCTATTTTTGTTTTATGTTTCTGACTTCCTCTAAATGTAATATTCTAAACTGGGAATCTGCCAACGGCTGGTTGGCAGAATACCAATGCTATGCATGTCGCTCATTGGCTAAAAGATGCTGTTTTCAGCCAATAGGAATCCTAAGTCTCTATGGACCACCCGTCGTGGTGATCGTAAATGTACGTATCCTTTGGTGTGTCTACACCATGTACGAGAAAGTCTTTCAAACCTCTAACAGACGTCTATCTGTTAGAGTTACAAGTGACTGTAGCCACTTGTGCGTGTAACCCTGTTACACCATCCCCCCTCAAGGTTAGACGCGCCGAGTCACGGCACGTCAATCAGGAAATTGACCATTCGTCAATTCTTCACGTTGAGAGAAAAAAACTCGAGCTCATTCCGCAATGAGCTCGCCTAGGAAGAAGACCGCCGCTGTAGCAGAGGGGAATACCTCCGCCGGGATAGAGACTCTCTCTATCCCCGAGTACCTCGAGCGTCACAAAGCACAGCGTGACGCTCTTGCTGTCAAGACTGCGGCGGGGACAACTCAACCGGAGATTGTCCTCGAAGGTTCCTCTGTAGTCAACGACGCTGTTGACTACGGGGACGGCGACGAGGAGATGGAAGAGGGCGAGGCCTCTTCTAGCAAGCGCAAGGAGTCTATCGACAGTGATAGTCTCGACCCGCATGCTGGGTCGAGACGCCCTCGTGAAGGAGACGACTCGGACGCTTCGAGCTCGAAGCGTCCGCGCGGCGAGAGCGACACTCCGCGCTCTGCTGCTGGGGCTTTAAGCTCTCCGCGCGCTGCCTGAGCAGCGCGCGGTCCGTGGATGCCGTCCGCGTCAGAGATTGCAGACCGTGTGGGCAACACTGTGCCTCCAAACGAAATCACGCTGTACGTATGCAGCGGTATCCACGACGATGCTGTTGCGGAGGGGCAGCGCTTTGATCCGTTAACGAATCAAAGGCGCGATTATTACATCGGGCTCTTCCACGAGCTCCGGTACTTCTCCAGCAAGAAGACCTCTTATCGCAGCAAAGTGCCTGAGTGGCAGGCACTTTGTCAAAGTTGGAACGCTTTTGTTGAAAACTTCAACAGGAAACCGGCTGCTTACCGCGAGCGGGTTAAGCATGCCCGTGAACGCTTCAAGACATTCCCGAGGCTGGAGCAGCTCCACAGATCTTCTGTGGACGCTGGTATTCCATGCGCTGTGCCCGAAGACCAACCGTGCACGTTGTGTCTTCCTGGTGCGGCGCGCTTGAGCGACCGCGACCTAAACGGGTACACCACGATTCGTGTACCTGCTAGTCTCAAGGATCTCCGTGCCAAGTTCTTGGCACGCGAGGAACGTGACGATCGTGGGACTTCGGGCGCTGTAGGTGACTACAGCGCTCGCACTACCTTCGTGTCGGCAGTGTGTGGTGAGCTTCGTACGCCCTCACCATTTCCGGAACGTCCTGCAGCAGGATGTCCCGCGGCTCCCATGTATCTTGGTGGGGCGGAAACCCTCTCCAACGAATACGATAACGAACCGGCTGCCGGTTCGTTTTCGGGATACTATGGTTCACAATACGCTCAACAATCCAGCGTGTTGAGCCGCGGGCGTCGCGGATTGGAGGCGGCGGTAGTGGGAACACGCCCCGGGTATGGTCAACCTGGGGTTGGCCTTGGCCCAACGCTCCA